TGGTCTCTCCTTTCTCCCCCCCTCCATCTAACTTTGACTCCCCTGCTCTCCTGCATCAGATTTCTGGGCTAATAAGAAATTGATGGCGGCGGCAGCAGCCTCCTCAAAATAAACAAAGTCATGTCAGTCCAGTCCAGCCTCTCTTGCGGTTTTCACTTTTGAGCTTCCACAGTTTCTCCTGTCAAACGCAGCACTTGAGATGGCAGATGTGATGAGAAACACCCACCACTGCCAGCAAACGCCGCCTGGGCCTGGTTGTCTTGTAAGGCCTCTCGGAGTTGCCTGCTTCCCTTCAGATCGTTTCTAGCCTGAGGGGAAAAATAAATAAATGAAGTGGGGTGGGAAATCCCAGGCCAGCATAAGCAAAACATCTAAATAAATAGCATAACAGTATGCATTTAACTGAATAATTATTAAATAAATGGGAGCAAGAACCAAACGTAGATTTAAACTTAATTAAGCGGGTAGCGCTGTGGGTTAAACCACAGTGCCTAGGACTTGCCGATCAGAAGGTTGGCGGTTCGAATCCCCATGATGGGGTGAGCTACCGTTGCTTGGTCCCAGCTCCTGCCAACCTAGCAGTTCGAAAGCATGAAGTGCAAGTAGATAAATAGGTACTGCTCCGGTGGGAAGGTAAACGGCGTTTCTGTGCACTGCTCTGGTTCGCCAGAAGCGGTTTAGTCATGCTGGCCACATGACCCAGAAGCTGTACGCCGGCTCCCTCAGCCAGTAAAGCAAGATGAGCACCGCAACCCCAGAGTCGGCCATGACTGGATCTAATGGTCAGGGGTCCCTTTACCTTTACCTTTAAGCGTAGATAATGGGTGAGTAAGAATTTATAAGAAAAATTAAAAGATCAGTTAACACAGCTATATGGGCTTCAGAAGTGCGGATCTAACAATATGGGCCTTCAGTTTAGGATTGAGTTGTAGCATGGATCAGTCATGGTAGCGCAAAATCTGGCAGCTGAATATGTGACTTCTGGGCTCTCGTCCTGTAGTAACAGGGAGATGTTGTGTTGTTCTGAACGCCCAGGAAACCTATATAAGATGGGTTGGATAAGCCTAGTTTGAATGTCTATCTAATCCTGGCAATGAAGAAGGGCACGCTCCGTTGTTTCCTGCTGCCCAGAGCCACATGGCAGGCCAACCCTTCTTGGCTCCAAGAACACACCAGCTTGTAAGTGAAATGATTGCCTTGGATGTCAGGATCCCTCAGGATTACATTAGCGCACTAGGTCGGATTTGGGAAGCAGATTGAATTTGGGTAAAATCTCAGTCTGCAAACTGGGGGCGAGGGAATGAAGCAAATCCTTTTCCTCATCAACAGCAACTCATGTGATGTCACGCCACTGCTTCATTTGCATAGGTATGTTGACAGATGAGCTGACATAATTTTTAATTCAAGGAATGAAAACATTTCTCCCTTTCGGTGATTTGTGTGTGTGTGTGTGTGTGTGTGTGTGTGTGTGTGTGTGTGTGTGCGCGCTATCTCTCGTGAAAATGTTTAGCTGATTACGTATGTTGCCCTTACTTGTTCTCCGGGTGCATGGGGTTTTAGGGGATGGGTCGTACCTCTGGTGGGGGACTCGTTGTGCTCCTTCTGGGGTAGTTTGTGCTATGGTTACCAGATTTTTTTCAATTGATCCAGGGACCCCCCCTTTTTTTTAAAGCTGAATAGCAACAGGGAGTCAGTAGTGGGGATGGTGAGGCAAAAGACCCTGGGCCCAAGCACACAGGCATATTGTATAAAGGTGCAAAGCCCTTATTTCACACCCTGTGAAACATAAATGCGCAGAGTTTTTTAAAAACTGGGCAACGCCCGCCTGCCCGCCCGCGACTCTTGAGCCTCCCCCATCTCCTGCCCCAAGGGAGGCTTGAGAGTCACAGGCAGGCAGCTGTTGCCCAGTTGTTGTTTTTTAAAAAAACTCTGCACATTTATGTTTCACAGGGTGCAAAAGAAGGGCTTTGCACCTTGGCTGGCAGAGAAACCACGCGCCTTGTGCCCCTCCTATGCAGCGCCTGCCTACTCGTGACTCCCAAGCCTCCCCTGATCTATCAAAACAAAGGGGGGAGGGGGCAGGAGATCTGTACCGCCGGACGTCCCTGGTTCCCCTTTGGCAGTGGCGGTGGCAGCGAGCAGCTCCTGAAGCCAGCCAGAGCCAACTGCGCTACCAGGCTGGCTCCGGGCTGCTGAGGCTGCCACTGCCACGTTTCCTGGGGACAGATTTGCAAATCTGGGGACAGAATTTGTCCGGGGACACGTTTGCAAATCCAGGGACTGTCCCTGGGAACCGGGGACGTCTGGTAACCCTAGTTTGTGCCCCTTTTGTCCCTGCTCTGCTCTCAGCTCTCACCTGTGGCTCCTAGAAGCTGGCAGCAGCACCTGACAACGGCCACAACCCAGGAATGGCTTTGACTGGCTGGCTAAACCAGGTGAGGGGCTCTGATGGGTCCCAAACCCTCTGGCCCTGCCTGCAAAGAGTGGCTCTGTCAGATTGAGCAGACAAGACCAATAGTGGGTCCAACGGCCAAGAAGGCGGTTTCTGCACGTGCTGTAGAGGGAAGTGGGGGGCAGATGGGGCTTGTCAACCTGGGAAGGTAGCCCATCTAGGAGAAGGAAAACTCTGGTTCTATATCTCCAGAGTAAACCCTACACAAACACAGAGTGGAGTTGCCTTTGGGTGAGTGTTGCTGTAGGTGTTTTCCTGTTGTTTCTTGTGGGGCGGGAGGTTCTCAACATCACTTTTGCTTCTGTGAAATGGGCATTTTGTCTTGCCCACGATACTGTCCCCCTGCCCCAATTTTCAAACTAGCCCCTGGGGCCAAAAAAGGTTGGGAACCCCCTGCCACCGCCTCCCAATTAATTTTAAAGAAGTACTATTTTTCTTTCTGCCCAGCAACAACCAGAGGAAAGCAACAACTTACTCTTTGAGCAGCATTATGACATTAACTCTGTTTCAAAAAGAAAAAGCTCCAAGGACACTGCCACTCATCCGCCTGCGCCCCCCCCCCCAGCCCCCGCCAGCCCGGTGACTTATTTTGGTTTGGAGCAAGCAATCATTTAGTTCCTTTAATAATTAAAAGGCATTTGAGTTGTCTAAGCCTCAAGAAAGAGATAAGCAGCTTTCTTAGGACCAGAATTCAGACTGGTTTAATAAGGCGCATTTATGGGAAATGCTCTTGGCGCTTAGCAATGCAGCACTGAACATTTGGGGTCTCTGGGAGACAGAATGAAGAAAGGCAGTGCACATCACCCGCAGATGATTTAAGCTAAAATATTAAATAGTCAGCGGAGGGTAACTTTCAGGGAATTGAGATCAGGCGTGATTTTTTTTTGATTTTTTTTAAAGGAATATTGCAAAACAAGCCTGGCATTGCTACTGCCGACCAGATAAAATCTATAAGCATCTTAGCAGTTTAATTCTGCAAGGGAGATGCAAAAAATTAGCCAGGGATGAAAGACAAAACCCATAATTAAGAAGGGCTGATTCAGCTCACACGGAATGCATTTCCGGCTGTCCCTCCCCCCCCCCGCCGCCCCCCAATCCCACCTTCAAATTTCCAACGTGTGCATCAATGTCAGCTGGGAAATGCTGGTTTCTGTGTACATGCAACCATGCTAAAATTACAGGATATTTGCAATGGCTAATCTGATAGGAGCCCTTGCTAATCTGCATACAGATGGCTGGCGGATGTGCTAAGTACTGTATCACTTTATGATACTGAATACCTTGGTCCAGCCAGGGCTTTATCAGATGCTGCTGTTGCTGCAGGTGCAATGGATCAGGATTCCCCCAAGTTGCCTACAAAGGGGCCGTTACACTTTTGTGAACTCAAATAAAAGGGTCGGCTCAAAAAGAGGGAGAGAGGCAGCTTTAACCTGCCCAGATGGCATCCATTGATTCTAATTCCTGCTGAACCAGAGTCACGTTACAGAGTCCTTTTAAAATTTATATGTACATGTGAGCCATAGGCAATGTTATTGGCAGACCTCTGCATAGAGGCAGAGACAAAGAGGCGTCAGGGGGGAAAATAAGAACAATTTGTGCAAAGATGCACTCCCTTCTCCGGCTTTTGTAAGGCCAAGGAGCCTCGACTATCTTTTCCTTTGCGGCCTTTGTTGAAAACACCGACAGTGGAAAAGAAAAGAAAAATGTAATGGAGGTTAAGCCAATTATAAGTGACACATGAGATTATTGTGCTTAAAACCTTGAAGCTGATGATTTGTAGGGATTCTCAGGACCCGGAATTTCCACTCACTTTCCAGGCCTGGACATGACATTGAACAGAATCACAGGGCACGGTCAGAAGGGAGCGTTGGGGAAGAGATCCCCACCAGAGGTGACACGCTCCAGATAATTATGGGCTGTCCCGTGAATCTGCTGGATGAAATAGCAGAAGAACGTTGCCTCAGGAGAGTGAGGAAAATTTTCAGGGATGATTCACACCCTGGCCAGCACTTTCTTGATCTCCTGCCCTCAGGTAGAAGATATAGAATCATGATTAGTCGCACCAACAGGGTAAGGAACAGCTTCTATCCGTGGGCTGTTAGGCTGCTGAATGAAAAGATAACAGCAGGGCAACTGAATTTTGGGTTTGGTGGGTATGCGTCAGTAAACAAGGGGAATTAAGACTAAGAGAGCTGAGTGGGGGGGTGCTTGTGTAATCTCACTGTATACAAGTTGTACAAGTGACAATAAAATATTTCAATTTCAATATTTCAATTCAATAATGGTTCCAGTAGCTCAGTTGCTCACTGGAAGGACAAATCGTGAAGCTGAGGCTCCAACTTTGGCCACCTCATGAGAAGACCCTGAGGTTGGGAAAGATGGAGGGCACAAGGAGAAGGGGACGACAGAGGACGAGATGGTGGGACAGTGTTCTCGAAGCTACCAGCATGAGTTTGACCAAACTGCAGGAGGCAGTGGAAGACAGGAGTGCCTGGCGTGCTCTGGTCCATGGGGTCACGAAGAGTCGGACATGACTAAACAACTAAACAACAACAAGCTCAGTTGGTAGAGCAACAGACTCTAAATCTCAGGGCGGTGGGTTCAAGCCGCATGTTGGATGAAAGATTCCTGCATTGCAACACATTGGTTCCTTCCAACTCTACAACTCTATGAAGCTGAGGGATGGGACACAAAGGTCCTGCCATTCCTCTCAACAATGGGAACCCCAGAAGAAACTGGCTGCTGGATCAGACCAATGGTCGATCTGGTCTAGCACCCTCCTCTGACAGTGGCCAACCAGATACCAAGTGGTATTCAGAGTTATTCTGATATTGGAGGTGATATATGTTGGGATACTGCTGGGGAGACGGGGGCATCAGGCAGACCCCCAGCTGGCTCCAGCCACCGGCCGGCAGCCGGACGATCACCGGTCTCCCTTGGAAACAGCATCAATCAGCAACACGAGCCTCAGATACGTTTAGAGACCCGTGCACGCTCTATCAGCAGAGCGAATAAATCTTCTCACAGCAGAAGAGGCGGACAGAGCCATGTGTAAGCAGTATATTACAGCATTTGATTCAGCAGCAGGAACAAAGGGGAAAAACATGTCTGCTTCCCTTCGTCCCCAGCAAAACAGCAATGCAAAAACTATATACAAACGGAAGTTCCCGGCAAGCGCTGGAAGTAAACAGGCATGTGACACACAACAGATGCCCAGACTTTTAGAAGACATCTGAAGGCAGCCCTGTTTAGGGAAGCTTTTAATGTTTAATAGACTATTGTATTTTAATATTTTGTTGGAAGCCTCCCAGAGTGGCTGGGGAAACCCAGCCAGATGGGCGAGGTATAAATAATAAATTATTATTATTATTATTATATAGTATAATAAAATAAGTATAATCATCTGTAAACAGACATATAACATTATTGTCCTAATACATATATGATTAATAGAAACCAACTATATTCTGTACACACTTGTTCCAAATGTCAATATATTTATCCAAACAAGTCTACGTCTATAGGCAATCGGTTCATATGTTGCGAGTGTTGTCATGTTTTAAGCAGAGGGTTTTGTTTTTTGAGGGGGGTGTCTGTCATGGATGCGTTATCTGAGATTCCTGCATTGTGGGGGTTTGGACCCCCGGGATCCTTTCCAATTCTACAAATTATGTTGATTAAAGCGGATCTTATCTTTATTCTTCCAATTCATCAATATTGGTCTCTTAGCCACAGTTAAGACTTGTACCAGTTCCATTGTTCAGTTGTCAGTTTTTCCCACACAGTCATATTCCCCAATGAATCCTGGGAATGGTACTTTGCTAAGGGTGCTGGGAATTGTAGTTCTTTGGGGGGGAGGTAAACTACAGTTCCCAGCCATCTTTTATGGTATGTGGGTGTGCTTTAAATGCATGGTGTCTCTGCAGCCTAGGTCTGACGACACGCAATAGACTCCCAGGGCTATGCCACAATGCACAGCGAGATGCGAGATATTCAGAGGGCTATTAGAAGGTTATGCTAGCATCTCAATTTCTTTATCTCTCCTAAGACGGTTTGGCCTTTCGGATGATATCTCCCTGCACGGCAGACTGCTACCGTGGAAGCCACAGGCTAACTAAGTAGACCGCTGATCATCCCGCTTACAGACTTGAATTAAAAAGCTTTGCCGATCCATCTTGAGGTCGGACGAAGGGCCAGGCGCCAGGATAAGCCACGAATCGCCACCTGGCAGCAGGGCAGCTTTAAATCTCCTTTTTCCCCTGGCCAGTTGTTATTCCCTCCACTTATTAAATAAATGTTGCTACGAATCAAGGCCGACAGCCACGCAAGCAAGATGGAGTCTTTAAAAAAACAACAGCAGCCAGGCCGCAAAGAGCCAATAAAGGGAGCCAGACCAAACAATGCATTTTTTTTTTTTAAAAAAAGAAATAACGAAAGGAGAATAAAATAGGCAAATATTCACTTTTTCCGCCACAGACACTGTGCAAGACATAAACATGGAGGCCAGGAATTAGCAATCTGAAAAGACTCTCTTCCACTTTTTGGCAGGGGTTAAGGGTGCCAACTGGTTCTTCAGGTGCCAACCTAAGTTCTCTCTCCTCCTCTTCTGTGTCAGGTACCCAGGTGAGAATAAGAAGAGACTGGCTGGACCAAACCAAAGGTCCATCTGGTCTACCATCCTTTCATGGCCTCCAACATTTCTCTGATGAAAATTGGGACGTCTTATTCCATAATGATGGTGATGGTGATTTTATTATTTATACCCCACCCACCTGCCTGTGTTGCCCCAGCCAATCTGGGTGGCTTCCAACATATATAAAGGTAAAGGTAAAGGGACCCCTGACCATTAGGTCCAGTCGTAACCGACTCTGGGGTTGCGGCACTCATCTCGCTTTATTGGCCGAGGGAGCTTGCATACAGCTTCCGGGTCATGTGGCCAGCATGACTAAGCCGCTTCTGGCGAACCAGAGCAATGCACGGAAACGCCATTTACCTTTCTGCCAGAGTGGTACCTATTTATCTACTTGCACTTTGACATGCTTTTGAACTGCTAGGTGGGTAGGAGCTGGGACCGAGCAACGGGAGCTCATCCCGTCACAGGGATTCGAACTGCCGACCTTCTGATCGGCAAGTCCTAGGCTCTGTGGTTTAACCCACAGCGCCACCTGCATCCCTCCAACATATATAAAAACATATTAAATCACTGAACATTAAAATAAACTTCCCTATACAGGTCTGCCTTCAGATGTCTTCTAAAGGTTGTATAATTACTTATCTCCTTGGCTTGGAGGTAGCATAACTCCAGACCCTCCAACATTTCCCTGATGAAAATAGGGACGTCCAAAGGAAAAGTGGGACGATCTGGGATCAAATCAGAAACCGGGGCAGCTACTGTAAATCCGGGACTGTCCCTGGAAAATAGGGACACTTGGAGGGTATGAAATAATAATAATGTGCAATACATCCTGAGCAGAGTTATCACCAGATTATACACCATGTCTACCTAGCAGTGAACACTGCAGCTCAACGCCTGAGAGTCTCCTAACACAAGGTATTACCTGCTCATCTCAGATGCAACTACAGTGGTAGCTTGGTTTTCGAACCTAATCCGTTCCGAGAATCCATTCGACTCCCAGAACCGTTCAAAAACCAAGGTGCGGCTTCCGATTGGTTGCAGGAGCTTCCTGCACTCAAGCGGAAGCCGTGTCGGACGTTCGGCTTCCGAAAAACGTTCGCAAACTGGAATACTCACTTCTGGGTTTGCGGCATTCAGGAACCAATTTGTTCAGGAGCCAAGTCATTCGGGAACCAAGGTACCACTGTATAGATCATGGGTAAGCAAACTAAGGCCCGGGGGGCGGATCTGGCCCAATCTCCTTCTAAATCTGGCCCATGGACAGTCTGGGAATCAGCGTGTTTTTACATGAGTAGAATGTGTGCTTTTATTTAAAATGCATCTCTGGGTTATTTGTGGGGCATAGGAATTCATTGATCCCCCCCCCCAAATATATAGTCCGGCCCCCCACAAGGTCTGAGGGACAGTGGACTGGCCCCCTGCTGAAAAAGTTTGCTGACCCCTGGTATAGATGCATTTACTTTCATGGATATTGTTAGAGGTTGGGTGTTTGTACTATGAATCATAATGCATAGTTAAGGAATAATAACGGAGGACTGATATATCGGTAACTCCTAAATAGGGACATTTCGAGTGGTCTGGGGATGGGAGGAGAAGTGTTTGTGTTAGGAGGGGCTGGGGGGGCACTTGGCCTGCCCAAGCCTTTGGCTCCTTTCCCCCATTGATGAACCTCTGAATCGCCCCCAGCTTGGAGCATGTGTTGTTGCTGCTGCTGCCTACATCTTGCGAGGCTGTGTCCTTCTGCCAAGTTCATCTGCAATTCTATGGGCCTCTCTGGAGCTCAGGACTCGTCCCTCTTGCCCCACAGGAGCAGGTGGAACAGCTGCAGCTTCTGCAGAGAGAGACAGTCAGTTGGAACGCTCCCTTTCCCAGGGAGAATTTGGCACGGCAGCCGCTCTCGGGTTCAAAGCAATTGAAGGATGTGTCGACAAAGGGCACCCCTCCCCCCCCCCACTGGAAAAAAAAACCCCCAACTGGCTCGGGTGCCAAAAGCAGCGTTTGCCATGGCAGCACACCTGCTCAGGGGTCAAAGCTTGCTCTAGATGTGGCAGGTGGCTCCTCCCACCTGGGAAGCCTTCGGTGTGGCGTGAGGTGGCAGGGGGACAGGAGGCGGGCGGGAAGAAGCCATACAGCCTCCCAGTGGACTGCAGGTCTGTTTTGAGGGAGGCCAGCAGGAAAGCAACATTGCAAGTAGGGAGGAGCCACAAGGAAGCTAGTCCTCATGAAGTCTAGAGCAAGCGTAGAAGGCCAGGAAGCTCTCGGTCAACTCTGGCCAGGGCTTGTGAACCAATTAGGCGTCCGTAGCCAAGTCACTCTTCCTGGTGTTTAGTCGGAGGGAGCAAGCTTGTTTTCTCCTGCTCAGAAGGGCAGGACTCGAACCCATGGCTTCAAGCTGCAAGAAAGGAAATTCTGACTAAACATCAGGAAGAACTTTCCAACGGTAAGAGCTGCTCGACAGTGGAACAGAGTTGGCGGACTCTCCTTCCTTGGAGGTTTTCAAGCAGAGGTTGGATGGCCATCAGTCATGGATGATCTAGCTGAGATTTCTGCATTGCAGGGGGTTGGACTACATGACCCTTGGTGCCCCTTCCAACTCTACAATTCTATGATTCTGTATTTTCCAATTAAAATCAACAGCTGGCATTTCCGCTGCTGTTCAAAGCTTACAGCTGTCATGTGGGCATTTACAGTGGTACCTCGGGTTACAGGCGCTTCAGGTTACAGACGCTTCAGGTTACAGACTCCGCTAACCCAGAAATAGTACCTCGGGTTAAGAACTTTGCTTCAGGATGAGAACAGAAATTGTGCTCTGGCGGTACGGCGGCAGCAGGAGGCCCCATTAGCTAAAGTGGTGCTTCAGGTTAAGAACGGACCTCCGGAATGAATTAAGTTCTTAACCTGAGGTACCACTGTATAAGGTATTCCCCCCCCACCACCACCATGGGGCAAATAGCAAGTGTGGGGAGGGGTTTGATTTTAATCAG